CAAGGTGTGGCGAGCAACCAGTAAACTTCTAACCACAAGCCTCTTCCTTCCTCTCAGTAAAATTTTTGCAAGCACCTTACTGGTCATCTCACTTAGTCCCCCAGAACATTATCGACACATGAAACCCTCTTCCATTCTTGCAAATCTTAAACCCTTTAACTGCTCTTCCCACAAGTTCGAAGTCAGTAGGCACCCTACCTCGGTCGAGAAAACATGTCCAGCCAAACTTATGTTCAAAACTTTCTGTCTCTAGGATTTTTTCTCTCTAGGACTTTATATTCTCATGATAGTAAGTTCTTGTGGCATTTCCTTTTCAGTTACAAATTGATAACAAAACAAAAAAAAACCTAATATGGTGATTGCCTTGTGGAAAGCAGATAATACCTGAGAAGTGCAGATATGAAGTACTTTCATCCAAAATTGAAATATGCCTTGTAAAAGCTTGAGCTTATTCTGTGGACATATCTCTTGAATATAGCAGGAATATCAAAGTTCTGCATAAACTAAAATCCGTTATCAGGTAGTTTATATTTGTTTTTATTTTTTATCTTTCTCAAGGTTATGTTCCATGTTGTTAATCAAAGCCCTTTATACGAGGTGTTATCCTCGCTTTTATTAGAGCATAAGTGGGAACATTGTATTGTGGGTTCAAGATTGAAAAGGACAAATTTCAAATGTAGTAACTGAAACTCAAGATTGAATTTAAACAAATTTCAGTATAGTAAGAGGTGAAAGAATCCCTTGCCTTTCATATTTATCATGGAATCCTTTATTTGAAATTGCAGTTGGATCTCAGCAGCCTGCATACCCATCTTCTAAGTCAAAGGCAAAAGACTGGGACAAGTTCAAAGCACAAGTGAAGGAAAAGGTTTTCGAACATTCCATCACTTAACACTATTTTTAAAAGAAATTTGGAAATGATTTGGAATTTATTTGCAAATTCACACTTAATTTAACTAAGAGAAGATATCACTTATATTAGGGTGATAAAAAATTGAGTACTTATGGAATTTCATATAGAATTAGAATAATATAATTCATATTTTATCAAAATAGATGGAATTTGAAACATATTGTTTCAATTTTATGTATAATTCCTTATTAATTTAATTCTTGTCATTTTAGATTGGACACTCATCATCTTCTAGTTAAAATAAGTATGAACTTGCAAATAAGTTCTTCAAAGTTTTTAGATTTATTCTAAACATAACCTAAATATCTTGATGTGCTATTTCTCTAGAGCAACCAATTGAGCAATTTGTTTGTGTTTCATTATTCAATCGTATGTAATCTAGTATGTTTGAATCTTAGGAAAAAGAATAGAAGTTGGATGGTGATGTGGCTTTGAACAAATTTGTCCGCGATATTTATCAAAATGCAGATGAAGACATGAGGAGAGCCATGAGCAAATCTTTTGTAAGAATTTATTAAGTTCTTTCAGTTACTAACATGTTCTAGAATTAGAGAGCATGCAGAATACCAAATTACACAGTTAAAGTCCAATGAAGGAAATATGAGTCAAATTTGACTGTCCTTTGCGTTGAAGCAATTATTCATCATCAGTGATGTACTGCTTGCTGGAAATACTGACTATTAAATCTTCTATATATTTGAAATCATATAGGGAAATCTTTCTAATGTTTCTATCTTATGGTAGTTTTTATATTTGAACTGTAGTTAACCTTTTGTTTGATTTTCAAGGTGGAGTCAAATGGGACTGTGCTATCAACAGATTGGAAAGAAGTGGGTTCCAAGAAGGTTGAAGGCAGTGCACCTGATGGGATGGAGTTGAAGAAATGGTAATATTGAGGCAGTGGGCTGTATCTATGTTGATTTTCTGTATGTGCCACCGATTCTTATTTAGTTTCGGTTTTTCCCCCTTTGTTATGGGGATTTACAGATTACCAAGTTCACATTTTTTTGATTCCTTCCTGTTCCTATGGAATGGTAGAATACAGGATAATTGTTTCATTGATTATATATCTATCTCTAATAAATTGTAGTTGATAAATCGAAATATTAATACTCTAACTTAAATTATAAATGTTGTTTCTGGTATATCTATCTTTATCTGCATACGCATTAATGGCACAATATATTTGAGAATAAGTTATTATAGTTTTAAGGTATATTTGTTTGCATATTTAAAACATTATTGATTTATAATTTCTAAAAAAAAAAAAAAATATATATTATATTATTTAACTAATTTTTAAAAGATTGTAATGTTAACATTTATTTATGATATTTAGCCTATTCAAAAATATTTAAGTCCTACTTTACATTATTATCCTTTTAAATGAAGTTTTAAAATTACATAAATTGATGTAACAAAGGGGCCTAAATTACTAGCATGCATATGTTAGTAGACATGTCCAAGGCGTCTCATAGCTAAATAGATTTCTCCTCATGGAAAAACTAATTAGATTTATCCTCATCTAAACAGTATCTTACATAGTGGTCTTCATGCCTGCAATTATTTATATACAAATAATTAGTTGCAACAAGAGTGCATATAAATATAATATATATATATATATGTAGTTGTAGTACATGTATTATGACTTATAAAACAATATACAAGCAGAATTCATTGCAATGGTGTAGAACATAATATGTACTAGCGATGACGGGGATTATAATGCTTGCCTTATTATAATGTGCCTACCTCGAAGCATGGGAGAGGGTCTCATATATGATTAATTTTAAAGAGTTTCTTTTTAAATTTATTTATAGAATTATTTAAATAATACGAACTAAGCTAACTAATTATATTGTATAGTTATAGATAAAAGATTTAATATTTTATTGTGTATAATTTAAATTTAAAACATAGCATGATAGAAATACTTTCTATAAATTTTTTTATAAAAAATTTTGCTTTTAAGAAAACTTCATATCAAGATAAATCATTATCAATTTTTTAACTGGGGATATGGTTTTATTACTTACTAGCAATAAACTTTGGGTTTACTAAAGAATTATAATTCCTTAAAATGAGTTTATATAAGGTCGCACATAATAACAAGCTTCCTTATATTTTAACTTAAAGATAAAAACTGGTTTTTTCTTTTTAAAAAAAAATTAGTTCAATAAGAATTAAATTAATTTTTACTAGTCTAAATTATTCATTCTATAATCATTAAATATATTTGTATTGATGTTATCTTAAAATAATATAAATAGTTTAGGAAATAATCAAATACCTTATTTTAGAAAAAGATTAGGATTGCCAATAAAATAAAATTGGATCAAATTTATGAAATTAAAAATTTTAAAAAAAAAAGTGAAAATTTTCCGTTAAAAGAAAAGCTTGAAGCTGCTCCTCCAAGAGAAAGAGAGGCCGCAGGGCCATGAAAGGAAAATGCTTTCACAAATTAGAAGTAATCATTCACACACTTTCACAAATTCAACAAGACTGATTACTAGCGCCATTGATAGAGTCCTTCAAATACTCAATCTGGTCTAAGAATTTTATTTATGCTTATTTGGAATTAAATTAGCCTTGAATGCCATTAGCTATGATGGGGTAAAATGCTTGACAGAATTTCAACTAAAAAAAATTGGAAATCCGACCGGGCATCCCACTGGTATAAAAACTACCCACCATCATCTATGTCCACATAGAGAGACTAATAAGAATGCACCACCCAATTTTCAAGCTCAATTAAGTCCGATATGTATGCCTCATCTTCTTTCATTAAAGATCTACCTCCCCAAAGTCATAGCATAATAGAATTTGGTATATACTTGTGTCCAACGATTTAATTGTCGTAGAGGTTGGCCCATGGCTTCCTAGATTCCCTTTATTCTTTTTACTAATTTTAACATTGCATATTAAGTTCTTCAAAGTTTTTATCCAAACCCCGGTCTCCATTCAGGCTGTTCTCATCTATGTCACCAATTATCACTTGTCTCTCTAGGAGGATGTTGTCATAGCTCTGTGTTATCATCTCTTTTTGCTTTCTTCCTACCAAATATTCTCTAAAATTGGTAATAGTAAATATACATATTTTTTAGAAATAATAAGTAGACATATTGAAAACTACTGAAAAAATATCTTAAATAAAAAGAAATAAGTTATTACAATATGTAGCTACCTATCATAAGATTTTCATTCATGTACAGACAACTTGTACATCCCTCCATAATAACCAACCAAACAAAAGTACTTCCTAAATCTCTCTCCCATTTTTTCGAGGATGAGAAGTCTCAAATTCCAGTATATTACAAATTTTACCAGGTGTAGGGCCAAAAACAAACTTTACAAGATGATTACAAGATATATAATAGGATGTATTTCTTTGTACATCTCTTTCTGACTTTATCCTAAGATGATGCACATCAGATGTCAACATCACCGCATCCCTGGAGATTGCTCGGGCAGCAAACCAGGGGCTACAGCCCCACTAGCAGACTCAGTCATTGAGTTATTCGTGAGAAGCATCATCTGCAGGTGTGTAGGCAGTTGAAATGGTGTAATTGATGGTCCTGATGCTGGAGGTGATTGGACTGGTGGTCTTGTTGCCTGGGCAGACTGGGTTGGCCGAATTATCAAGGGATCCAGAGCCGCAGAATAAGCTCCAGGCAAAAGGCTTCCTCGCATCCGACCTGGGGGCCGCCAAGTTTGCTCTGAAGGCAAATCAGCCCTTGAAACCGCTGTCAGCATGCCACCTATGTTCCCTCGCTGCTCTCCTGATGGTGCTCTAATTCCATCAGCATTTACCGGATATGAAGGCCCTCTGGATGTTTGAATTTGAACTGGCACAGTTGGTGCCTGTCTTCCCAACTGGACAGCACGCTGAGCGCCAGCCACAAACTATCCTGTTGGCTATTTCCTGCACGTGTTCTGTGGCCAAACATTGGTTGCATCAGAGGCCGTGGCAAAGGGGAAGGTGCCCTAAAGCCTGGAGAGTGGCTTCTGGACTGAGGCAACCAATGGGGATCGAGATTCTGTTTAGACGAAGAAGATACTCTATAAGCAGATCTGAATAATGTTGAGCTACCGAATAGCAATAACTTGACTACGGATAAAAGACAAACTGAACAAGAGAAATCAAAGGATAGCTTCTGAGTACTGAGTATATACCTCCAACCAAGTTAATCCTCAATCCAGAAATTTGCTAATTTGTTTTCCGCATAATTCTCTTAAATTAACAAGTGAAGAAAGGAACCAACCTGTGCTACTGAGTGATGCTGCAGAGAAGATGAACCCATAGCTGACACCTGAGGTCCATGCATATGTGATCTGGTGAACTGCTGCTGCCTCTCCATATCACCGGACATTCTGTTAAAACCATCTACTGCAGGTATAGCCAGAGGGGAAGGCTGTGAAGGCAGGCTGGAACCATTGGGTAACAAGATGGTCATGGTACTTCCCGATCTCTGTTGTGGAGTTTGTATCTGGGGTGGGGCTGGAAGAGCCTGAACTGCTATGGGAACTCGAGTTACATGTCTTGGTATTGATGGCGCTCGTCCATATTCTTGACTTGTTTGATTCATTTGTTGAGACTGTTGTAACTGCATATTCCTAGGAGCAGAAAACTGGTTGTGGACTAAAGAGGAATTCCCACAAATGTCAGCTTCTCGATTAAGGGCAGGAGAAATAGCATCAGTCAACACAGGAGATGTCATAAAATTGGGAGAAGCAGACTCTGAGATTGGGTAATTAACTTGGATATTTGACCTAGCACTTGACGTGACAAGATCATGAGTGAAATTTGCTCTGGACCAAAAGTCATTCTCTATTTGAGCAGCAACATTTTGATTATTTCCAGCAGTACAGTTCAAGTTCGAGGGCATAGCTAAACTTGTAGCATTAGACTGAATCTCAAGATGGGTGAGAGGAGGCTTCCTGTCTTCGACTTCATATGGGCCATCTACATTCATTTCGTCCCCTGTAAGATCCAAATAAGAGGACTGCGTTTGAGAATCAACAGGTTCTTGATGATCAGACCCATCATTCTGGTAATCAAGGGTCTTATCATGTACATGATCCACAAAGTTGTCACTTTCCAATACAGCCTTCCACGATCCATCCGCAGAGATAACCACATCAGCACATTATCTCCTACCTCTTTAGACCTTTACCATTAAAAAACATGA